GACTTTCCTTCAGAAATTGTGGGTGCTGCTGCTCCATCATCACTGGAGGCTTTTAAGAAGAGACTGAACAGTCACTTGTCTGGAATGATAGGGTCTCCTGCTTCAGCAGAGGATTGGACTAGAAGACCTCCAAGAGCCCTTCCAATTTTGTAATTAGTCGCTCTACAGGATGCTATTGTGAATGTGTACAGTTTAGCTTTAGTGTTTAGTATGTAAAGAATATTTTCGGAATGTAATATTTATCAAGGCTTAAAACAGTTTTGATACCTTCCGATCTCATCAACAATTTGTGCAATTTTCCTGTATAAAATAACAGCCTCATCTGTTCTTAAGTACTCAGCTTTCTTAAGTCCCAAGACAGTAGTTTGGTAAATATTGAATTAGTAGGTTTTAGATCCGAGGATCTTATGGGGTTTGCTAATCCACCAAGTCATGAAATGAGACCATATATTAATTTAGTAAATAATCCTAACCCTCTCTTTAGTTAAATACAATAATTTGTAAAATGTAAGGGTTGCAAATTTTTAAAAAATGTTTTTTTTATTTATTTAGTTTATTATTGTGCAGGGCAGTAATGATTTATAAGATTAAGTAGGTATTTAAATTGATGAAGTATTTCAGGAAGTACCTTCTGTACACAAGTAGGGGCAGATTGTACTGGACACGTAGCAATTCATTGCTGGAAGAAAAGTTCATTCTGCTCTATTTGTTCACTTTTAATCAAAACCTGTTGCCCCTTGAATGAATTGTGCTTGGCTATCGCATCTTGATATTTAGACAAGAATTCGAGTAAAAGTTACTTTAAATTCAAAATGGCGGAAAACGATACAGACTTAATTGGAAAATGCAGAAAAAAACCCAAGCGCCTTTACGAATGCGAACTACATTTCCCATCTTGCAACGCGGCAGGCACGTCCTTACCTCGCCCCGCCCTCTCACAAAGCAACCTATAAATAGCAAGCGACGGTCTTCCGAGGCCTTTCTGGTGTTTGCCGACGGCGCCATTTTGTTTCTGAGGCGCTTGGTGGTAGTTGGCGCGGTCTTGTCCATCCGTTGCCATCCATCCGTAGCCTGGCCATCTATTTCTAGGGAGTGATCCCAGGGGCCTCGCCCCACTATGAGAGCTAAGGTAAGTTGTGTCTTGAGCCCGAAAATGTAGGTCGGATTTGAATTTGTTTGCTTCGACACTCCTTTCGATGGGTGGCCAAGAAGTAAGCGAGGGCCTTCATGTTAGGTGACGGAGGGGACGGTTTGAAACAAACTGAAAATACTGGTGGAATGGCTCTGGCGGAATAAAGCTGTTTTGAGCCTCTAGACTAAACTCGGGGTTGAGGCCTCGATTACTTTAAAGAATTTTTTAAAAAGGGAGCGTGTCGTATGTAGCATGGAGGAATGAAAATAAAGCATGGGAGTTTTTTTAAAGCCGTCTAAATAATACTTTAAACATGGGAACTCGTCTGAAAAAGCTTTCATTTAAAGGGATACGTTCAGTTTTTAGTTTCAATACCTTCCCCTCACATCCTTTGATAATAGCCCTGTTGAACTCTGTGGGCCTCACTTCTGATGAAGCATATATTAATCGATCGCTAACTTCGGAATGGCTATTATGTATAAATAACTTAAAAGTGAACAAATAGAGCAGAATGAACTGCATGCTCAAGAGGCTTTGTAGATACTGTGCCTAAATGTATAGATGTATTGCGTAATATTCTATATCCACCATTTTGATTTAAATGCAGAATTCATTTTCATGCTGAAGAACTTTTGCAGCTTTTTGCTCATTTCTACACTTATCAATTGATTTACACCTTGATGAAATTTTGCAAAACGTAATTTTAAATGTGTAACAATGTTCTATTTTGTATCATTGCTGTAAACAGAAATTCTAATGTGATTTTTTTTTTCTCCCACAATTTTTAGTGGCGAAAGAAGCGAATGCGCAGGTATGTGAACATGTGTTTTTACTTTATTGTGTTTGCTCGCTCTAAAAAACTATTAGATGTTCTTAACTTTTAATCTCTAGTAAGACATTTTTTATTTGTGGCTTGTTTAAAATTAAGTGGTAGTTTGTCAAAGCTCATGGTTGAATTTAGAAACTAGGTGACTTGAACTATGAACCTGTCTTTATGTAAATTCATATTCTTTTGTACCTGGGATTGCAACTGACTACCTTGAAGCAGAGATTCTTACTATTGTGCATCCAAATGTGAAAACGTTTGTCAAATAATTGATAGCAGAAATATAACTATATTGCAAGGTCTATTCTTGAATTGGTAACAGTAAGCAATGGTTAAGACTATATGGACTGCTAAAAGCAACATTCAAGAAAAAAGGGTTACTTCAAAACTAGTGTCTGTAGTGTCTATTTTATCCAGTTTCTTATTACTGTGCTGTTTTAAATGAATAATCTATTCAAGATGTCTGCACAGGTTAAAAGCTTAAGACTGAACATTTCAGGGGCCAACAAATGGATATCATTGTTTCATAAATTCAGGAGTTTTAAGGCTTGATAGCATAAAGAAGCAGAATGTGCCCAAGTATACTTCATACATTGTTTATTAATGTATCTGTATATTTCTATAGGTGGAAAGCTTTAAGGGGTTAGGACTAGTTTGTTTTTTTTACACTTTAAATATTTCATAAGAGCATAAGTTTCTTGGATAGATAAAAATAAAAATTGCCTTGAGACAATTTTTGTATCTCCTGGTATTAATTCACGGATATTTATTTATTAGAATAATATAAAGACGGTGACTTCCCCAGCTGGCTGATTTGGATTGGCTGGACCAACTGAGAATTTCTGGGAAGTCACTTCAGTAATGCCACCAAGAAAACTGAATCAGTAATCATCAAACCTGTATATGTTGATCTGGAAATTTATAATGGATTTGCTTTTTTTCTATGCTGTGGAAGTTTCTATTAGAAGAAAAATAGCAATTGTTAAACTAAATATTCCAATAATGGTTATTGGAATTTCTATTTGATGTCTCCTGAAATGTTCAATCTTAACCTGTTCATCAGAAATTGATCTGGAGATATGAGTAAGTTCTATATCTCAATTTCCTCATCCTATATGCTGTCTTCAAAGTTCTTTTTTTGCAAGCATCTTATGTTTAACAGAAATGCCCTGAGTCTTAATTTAAACTGTTAAAATAGTGATATTACTTTAGGATTTTCAGTTAATATTGTTTTTTCTAGGCTGAAGCGCAAAAGGAGAAAGATGAGACAGAGGTCCAAGTAGACATCATTCACAGTGCTACTGAAGCTGCAAAACAGCATGGAAGGGTGGAGCCTTGGGAAGCCAACTTCCAAATAATGCCTTCTCTTTGCTGCTGCTAGAAGACTCCTTATCCTATCTTCAGGAGATTCCATCTTCAAGTCTGGGAGCAGTGATCCTTTGAGGATGGCATCCCTGAGCTTTACTATTCTGGACTGATCTTGTCCTTGGTGGCTTGATGTAGCAACTGTATCAAATAAAAACCCCTTTTTGGGGGAATTCTACATGTTTTTTCTTTCTAATGTTTATTTTTCAGTAAAAAGATTTTGAAATTGTGACACAAATGTGTCTAGGTGATTTCAGTTTCATTTTGGAAAAAATCATTTATGGTTTTCTAATTTCATGGTGTATTTCTCAGTTTGGTAAACCATTCTACATAATGCAGCTGATGTTTTGTGTTGTGATAATTATATAATAGAGTAAGATAACAGTCTTCTGGTATTCAGATTTTTGAAAGATGCTTTTGAAGGAAACGCATTCTGCTTAGAATCTAACTAGCACCATTTCTTCATTTTAAAAAATCATAACTTTCAGCTCTACCAGTTCTTTGGGGGGTATTTTTATACTAGACTAAAGTAGAGGAAGCAGACTTCTCTGAGATTATTCTGGAACCTATGAAATTTGTCCCATATTTTTTACTAAGATCAAATGAGTTTATGATTATTAATTGCAGAACAGATAGGTTACATTTATTTACTATTCAAAAGTGGCATGACTAGAAAAGTTGAAAAAGTGTTTTATTGCTTGTTTCAGTGGCCTGATTAATCTTAATGGGTATAGTGCTTATAAAATTTATTGGCTGCCCATCTTACAAGATAACCGTGTGGCTTGCAGTCATAAAAGATATAGATACCTACACACACACTGCATGTATTAAAAACAAATTATATTTTATTATAGTAATCGGTTCTGGTAAATAGAATTCTGATATCTCTGGAAGTAATATCCACTATAAAAGAGTGATGGTAACTTAGCGCTAGAAAACAAAGACTGCATAAGTGACCTGAAGTCAAAATGCAGTATAATTGACCTAAGCCTACTTGGATGTTACATTGAGATCTCCTTAAAGTTTGATCTATAGCACAATTATGCATATCAATGATTTCAAAGCCTATGTCGTTTGAGAAAGAGTATGGCTATAGTATGGTTTTAGAAAGCTTAGTGATTTCCAAAATGCATCTAAATTGTTTATTGCAAACTTCCACTTTAGAAGGTAAGAACCATTCAATAGAAAATTGTGCCAGTTTTGAGTCTTATCAATGGATGCCTGCAGTATAGTACATTTCATACATTATTCAGTGGTGGGGTTTGGAAAGAACATGATCATCAAGTTTCTTGTAAATTTACTGATGCTCAGAAATGTAACTTAATTTTATCTGAAGGGTCATCGCATGGAAAATGATTTCTACTGTTACAAACGTAGTATAAATGCCTGGAAGTCACTATCTTCCTTTCCAAAAATAATTGATAAAATTTCTGGTTTTGTTAAAAATTGGTTCATAAATAGCAACCACAACCCCCTACGGCAGGACTTGCTTGTGGGGGTGATCTCCCAAGTTCGAGTTAGTAAAGCTACTGATCAGCCTTTTAGACGACGATGGCTGACCCCAGATAGGATTTTATAAAAGCTCATAGGAATACTGGACGTTCGTCTTTCTCCCCATTTGATGAAAGTCGCGTATCTCTCCCACCCCCACCCCCCCACGTGCTGTTCTTTCCGCGATCATGACGATCACGTCGCAATAATGACGCCGTCTCCCCTCGTTGGATTTGGTCGCTGACAAAAAGCGAGAGTAGCAAGCATTGCTTTCTCTTAAAAGACCGTAACCGAGCGCCAGCCACAGGGAACAGGCTCTGCCCCCGGAACTTTACGCGTAGGGGTTTCCCGCCACGAAAAAGTTCGGAGTCGGTAACGGAGGCCGACGAGGTTGTGTTTCTCGCCGCCCCTGGCTCGCGACTCCGGTCGAATTTACCTCAAGTAAAGGGGCGGAAGCGGAGGAAGAGAAACTCGTCGCTATGGCAACCTTGACAGCCGGGAACTTCGGTCGACGGCCCTGCTGGAGAACGAAGCATAGAGTACTTCCGGCGGCGGCGGCAAGAAGGGGGGGAAAGACTGTGACCGGAAGGGGTTGCGCTTTGTTTGGAGCAGAAGAGGTCGGAGTGAGGGTGAGTGGGTGGAGGTGGAAGTGTGTGTGTGCTGGGGGGGGAGAGAAGGGGGGGGGGGATCGTCTCCCTCGTGGGGCTCCATTCTCCCCCATTTTCCCCTAGAAACGAAAAGAGCCTCGGGAGCCCGTCCTGTCGAGCTCCTTCCCGGGGCCTCTGACAGGGACCCCCAGCTTCCCTTCTTGTGGTCCCAGCAGGGTCCTTTGGCCCTTTCCCAAAGCAAACCCAGCTCTGCCTCGGCCTTTCCCTCTCGGGGAATTTGTCTTTAATTTTTCACGATTTTTCAAGGAGTTCTGTACTCAAGATCTTTTACGAGATAATTGGATAATGAGCGAGAGAGCTCAAGGATAAACTAGGAGAGAGTCAGAACCCTGTATCGCTCTGTTTCTGCCCTAAGCAAGATGCCCCTTCAACCACTGAAAGCAAAGAGCTCCGTTTTTAAGAAATATGCAAGACTTCGGTGTATGTCCTGTCATCAGCCATTTGACTCATTCCATCAATAAAAATTGGATCTCAGCTTTCTGCTTCTTGTCCTCGCAAGAAGTGTATGGGACACTGTTGTTTTCATGATGCCGTCAAATCTGTAAAAGCAGTATTTTGATATTATAAAAAGTATACAACGGTGGCATGAAAAAGTAGGTTGGTGCTTTTAGATGTTATGTTTAGAGGTTAAGGGATTTCCCAAAAGTTTCCTAAAATTTCTAGATAAAAATATCATTGATAGGCTTGCCCAGGGATGCTTTCCTCTCCTCTGTATAAGCCATAGAAGGAAAACTGAGCACATAGAAGGAAAAGCACAATCCTTTTCAGTTTGTGTGAGATTAGTTAAGAACAAGCGTGATACAACAAGCACATCAAGAAAATTAAAGCATTCTGTTCTCTGCAGTACTTGAAGACTCAGTAGCAGATTTTCAGGTATTCTCTGTCAAATTGGAAGCTGGGAAGCCCCGGGAATAATTTGAAACATTGAGACTAGGATTGTGTAAGAAAGTGTTGATCTTTCTCTCACACTTAGTTACATAGACACAAGCACAACATTGTGCATAGAAGGATTTTCATGTCTTGCTTTTTTTGCATTTCTTCTCTTTAGGTCTTGGGGCCATAAATCATTCTGGAATGCCTTTGAAAAATTTATATCACAAAGGTAAAATTCCAATTAGAAATAAGTGGCTAAATATATCTGTTGCTAATGAAATATTAAATGTTCTTAGTTTAATGGAGGAGCCTTAAATTCAATTTGCAATCGTGTCATGTTTGTAATTTGATTTCTGGACTGAGTATGAGAATTTCCTCACACAGTTTTTTCCGAATAGTTTGAAACTGGGAAAAGCATGATAATTCAAAAAAAAACAAAATGCTCCTCCATATGTAGGGTTTTGTATCTATTTTCACTGTTTGAAATTGTGCCATTTGAGCTGACACCTCTTTCCCCTTCCTACAGCTTCATATAAACATTGGTATTGTGACCTTAATGATAGATGATATAACAAGCACTCAAATTCTTTTTGCTTTTTATGGTGCTGATTTAGTACAACTTTGGTTTCAGATAACAGTTGGAGGGAATAGGTCTTTAGATGTAAATATATGCAAAGTAATTTGCATAATTATATATTAATGTAATTGAGGTAATTATATCATTTATATGAAGTTACATTTACAAATGATGCTATGCCAATGATAAATTGATGTCATTTGCAAAAGAATGCAACATGTTAATGCAAGTGATGGAATAAGTTCAATTACATAACTATGTGAATGATGTAAATTAAGTCAATTATCTTGACTCCTTCAGAAGCAGCAAACCATGATTTGGAGGTGAACTAAATTTCGGTTAGTTGCATCCAGAATTTGCTGAATGAGGCTGATCCAACTGAGTGTAAAATTTAAGTGTATTGATGGTTGCCAGTTCTGAACTTAAACAGTCGTGACATTTGGAACAGGATAGAGATGCAAAGGGGAGCCAGATAGGTCCATGGCTCACCTATAGAATGAATGTGAAACCTCTGGCAGCATTCTAGCCCAGTTCTTCTAACCTGCAGAGCCTCAAGTCAGGCTCAACCTCCAATGCCCCCTCCTTGCAAGAAGTCTTTCTTGCAGTCTTTTCCAAATGTGAGTGGAATGCTTAGCCTGCTTTCAGATGAAGTACCACTCATCTTATGCTGCTTCATATCTTAACCTGGGAATTATGAGTGGCAGCAGCAGCAGTTAAGAGCTGCAACGCTGAAAGCTCCCCACAAGTCCCTAGAAGTCTGTGCTTAAAGCTGTCTGGTGGGAGTGCGTTCACTTGCCAGCTCCCAGGGAAGTGCTTCTTTACTTATAATGCTTGAAGCTACTTCAATTTGAATAACATCTGTAGGGATGAATGATGTCCACTCAGCAGGAGAAAGGCCTGTTCCCCCTCTATTCTTTATTTTATTCTTATATTGCTGTTGGTTAAACCTAGCCACTTTAGTTGAGTCATTCTGGAAAATTATGGAGTAGTTAGTATTATTCCAGTGGAAAGATGTATACCATAGTCTTACTGCAGGTGGATTGTGATTAGTGGGGTATTTGACTTGGTGGAAATTATAAGTTGATACCAGGTTGCATTTTGTGAGGCAAAATTCAGTTAGTGCGAGGCTAGTGTGCATGCAGCTGAAGCTAGTCCATGTGCAGTTTCTGCTGGCATTTTAGATGCTAATTGTCATATGTGCAAAATAGAAAAAAGGAAGGTTCTATTGGAGAAAAGCTTAAAAAAAGGAGAGGGTCATTTTGGAAAAGCTAGAGCAGAATACAGGAATCAGCAGGTGTGCTTTGGATATGCACTTATCCTCCAGCTTCTTTTTTCTTAAATATTATGAAATCTATGTCCTATTTTCTATATAGAAAATGGATAGGAATGATATTTAATTTTTCTTTCTTTCTATAGCTATAACAAATACTGCTATAGTTTGTAAACTGTACGGTACAAATATTGCAACCACTCAGTTGATCGTTTACGCGACATTTTTAAAAGGTAGGTTAATGCAATGTATGAATCTAACTACAAATAAATAAAAATATGAGATCTGTTCATGGCCTCTTTCCCCTTTCATCCCTTATTTGGTCTCCTGCACAGTTGCTTGATTGAAGGACGCAGCCGTGACAAGAAGATGCCTGACCGTGACACCTATAACGGTAGTGGTAGCGATGAGGCAAGCGCCAATGCCGATGACATCTGCCGAGACTTCCTGCGCAATGTCTGCAAGCGGGGCAAACGTTGCCGTTTCCGCCACCCTGACATGAACGAGGTGACCAACTTGGGGGTCAGCAAGAACGAGTTCATCTTCTGCCACGACTTTCAGAACAAGGAGTGCGTCCGCATCAATTGCCGCTTCATCCACGGCACCAAAGAGGACGAAGATTGCTACAAAAAGACCGGGGAGCTTCCCCCGCGCCTCCGCCAGAAAGTGGCAGCCGGGCTTGGCCTGTCCCCGGCTGACCTCCCCAACAGCAAGGAAGAGGTTCCCATCTGCCGAGATTTTCTCAAGGGGGATTGCCAACGTGGGGCCAAGTGCAAATTCCAGCACCTGCAGCGGGATTATGAATACGACGCCCGGGGCTTGACTACCCGGGAACAGGGTATCACCACCCCTGTGCGTCGCTATGACCCCTATGACCCAATGTATGACTCTGACCGATGCTATGATGACCACGACCCTGTGCTCAAAAGGAGGCGAGTAGACGGGCTCCACTTTGAAACGTATGAGTACAACTTCACTAGTCCGCGCACGGTGGAATATCGTCTCCTGGAAGAAGAAAACATCATGCTCCGCAAACGAGTAGAGGACCTCAAAAAGCAGGTCAACAACCTCCTGGCCACCAACGAGGTCCTTTTGGAACAGAACGCCCAATTCCGCAACCAAGCCAAAGTGATGACCCTCAGCTCCCCGGCTACAGCCACCGAGCAGACTCTGGCTCCGACTGTGGGCACTGTGACCAACTATAACCACAGCATTGCCCAAACTCACACGACTCTGAGCAGCCAAGCCCTGCAGCCACGTCCCGTCTCCCAGCAGGATTTGGTAGCCCCCGCTGGAGCGCAGGCAGCACCCCCGAGCAACGCAGCCCCTCCTATGAACCCTGAAATCACCCCGCTCTCAGCAGCTTTGGCTCAGACCATTGCCCAGGGGATGGCTCCCCCTGTATCCATGGCCCCCGTAGCTGTATCGGTAGCGCCAGTGGCTGTGTCGATGGCTCAGCCTCTGGGGGGCATTACCATGAGCCATGCCACTACTCCCATGGTGACCTACCCCATAGCCTCCCAGAGTATGAGAATAACAGCCATGCCTCACTAGCCCACGTTTAGCGGAAGTGCCATCGTTCAGTCTATGCCATGCTGTTCCTAAGTCAAAGACGGGCACAAATCCTGTTGAAAGTCAAGGCAAAGAGAACGATACTGATCCCAGAGGTGGATCTTGAAGCCTCTGGAACGTTCATGGGGAAGGACAATAACCTGGGTTGGCATTTTGTCTGAAGCAGGCATAGGGGCTGTCCTTTCACAGTGAAAACAGAGCCCAGGCATAACAGAAAAGCAAGCAACAAAAGCATTTGGAAAGTACAGAGGTCTCAGAAGTTTTTTCTCTGTATCTTATTTCTGTTTTGCTGTTTGTCTGTTCTCTTTGTAAGTCCTCCAATTATGCTTTTGAGTATAAGAACTGAGCAAATTTTCCAGCCCGTGGAGTACAGTGTCTATTGTGTGGCTGAGCAGAGGGAAAATAACAGTTCCTTCCCTGGTACTGTGCAATTTTCCTTAACTCGGTCTGATGAAAGGGCAGAGGCTTAATAAAATAGCAGCTCAGCAGACTGAGCTAGCCTGAATTTTTGCACTCTTTTTTCTTGGTGTAGAAAGGCAGGGATCCAGGCACCTGGAATAAAACTACTTTAAATTGTGTTGGTTTAATAGACAATGAACTGGAAAAAGTTGCAGCAAACAGAACGTCCCTTCCTTTGGGGTAGATTAGCTCTTAGTTCTGGAAAGGACAAGTTCAAAGCACATACACAGCACTGATAGCTTGATAGTTTGCGTAGTGGAGGCAATTGCGTGCATTTGCATACGTGTGTGAATCCACACACCTCGTGGATGCACAACACCCACATAGATGGCATCTCTTTACAAGAATGTTGAGGTTTTCAAAGAGTCCAGGATTTAGTGACAGGATCTCTTGCTGCTGAACAGCTGGATTTCTGGTTGAAACAGGGATAGGCCATCTTCCAAACTCAGAGGAGTTCACCCCCCTTTTTCCAATTGCCTCTTGCTTTCTGGCTGTATTTTGTGCCTGAATTCCCCTCACATCCAAGGACTTTGTGGTAGAACCCTACCTGCTGTATGTTACTTCACTTTTTGTTTTGTTTTTCAAGGCACCACTTTTTAATTATATATATATATAAATAGATAGAAAGATACCTTCCCTCAGTGTGAGTTGTTCGTTTTATTTTCTGGGAGGTGGGAGGGTATTTTTCTTTTTTCTTTTTGTTTTTTCTAATGTGAACTTCAGCTCTTCCTTGAGTCTGAAGTAACTGTATTAAAACGATTTGAAGGAAATGAGAAAAATGTTTGATAACCCAGCTGTTTCTACAGTTAACAGTATAAATGTTTTCAGCTATTAAAACAAATGTACAGTCCTCACCTATATTCATCCCTGTAATGATTTTCTAAATTTTTTTTAAAAAAAAGATCCTCTTCAGTCTTCTCCCAGCACTTCAGAGATTTCGACACCCTTGGTAAAAAAATCCGGTTCAGGTCTTGTTGAAGCTCTTTCTGCTTTGGAGCAGAATGCATCTGCTTCCCAAAATATTGATCATGGTTGCAAGGAAGGGAGAAAGGAGACTTCAAGAAAAATCCAAGAGTGTTCTGCCCCAGCTCCGGATTTCCGAGGATATTGACACACACCAACGGTCCTTATCAAATTTATTAAGTAGCAAGAATAAACAAGACCGGCAAAGGTTGGCAAACAGCCCAGAAAACAAGATACGATAAACCAAAATACTCTGATAATAAATAAGAGTTGTTTCCAGCAAGAAAGCACTAGCTGCGTGCGACTTAAATAGGCTAAGGGAGTGGCCAATTATCCTCAAGCCCTACTCTCGAGTAGACCTCCTCCTCCTGAGTAGCCACTCCTGCCTTTTAGCAGCCATGCGTGCTCGAGCATTGAGGAGAGGCTCCTCCACTTCACTATCTCCACTTGAAGGAGCCTCTGGAGGTTCTGAAGGCCTGGCTGAGTCTCTGCCTCTGACACCACATCCTCTTCAGCCTCCTCGCTGTCCGACACGAACGCTGGCTGCGCAGGCTGCTGGCGCGACACATCAGCCTCCTTCCTCTTCGTCGGGATCAGTCACGATCCGCGCTGGCGGGCCACAACAAAGAGGCTTATAGGTGTCATTCTCCTGAATAAGTACTGAGGTGGATCATCAGCCAAGAGGAAGACCCCAGGACACTGCAACCATCATAAATATGAATCAATTGCCAAGCATCTGAATTCTGATCACGACCATCCGGATGCTGCAATAGCTGTTAAGTGTGAAAAACAAGCCATAAGTCACTTTTTCAGTACCATTGTAACTTCAAAAGATCACCAAATGAACTGTTGTAAGTCGAGGACTACCTGCATACATTCCAGATTTGTCTTTACATCAGATGTGCATCGCCACAAATCTTTTTATGGGGTTCAAACCCTCTCCTGGGAACGTTATCAGTGTACCTTTAGATAATTGCATAAGGTACATGAGGTCCTGGCCCTGAATATGCAGGGAGGGATTTCACTATACAGAGGCAATCCAAACGGTATGCATAGTCCAAATTCTCTTCACCTCTCAGACCAGAGAGATTCAAAAGTGACATACCTCCCGCCTTCATTTACAAGGTTTTATCTGACTCTCGCCATTCTCTTCTGAGAAGGTGTGGGAGGGAGTTCTAAGAGGGAGGATGGAAGTCATGTATCACAAAGCCATAAAGCCAGTTTCAGGCAGGTCTTGGAAAGAGATTACTAGCTGTTCCATGGGAAGTAGCATTTGCTGTGCAAATTCTCCCCTCCCGTCCCCCAAAAAGAGATGCAGCAAAGAAATGATTGGAAAGAACAGAAACTGGAGTTTTGACTTTTGCTTACTAGCAGGGGCCTTTCTGCCGTTCCCCTTATTTTTCTTCTTCCCCGGCCTCAGGGGACCGGAGTCAGCCAAGCAGGTGAGAGGTGGGACCAAAAATTGCCACAAGTAGTCCTTGACTTAATGATCAAAATTAAGCCAAAAATTTCCATTTCTAAGCAAGACAGCTGTTGAGTTTTGTCCCATTTTATGACCTTTCTTGCTACAGTGGTTAAGTGAATCACTGCAGTTAAATTTGTAACGTGGTTGTTAAGTGAATCTGGCTTCCCCATTGACTTGGCTTGTCAGAAGGTCGTAAAATGTGATCACGTGACCCCAGGATGCTGCAATCCTCATAAATTCAAGCCAGTTGCCAAGTATTCAAAATTGGTCATGTGACCACCAGGATAATGCAAAGGACATACGTGTGAAAAACAGTAATAAATCACAATTTTTCAGTATCGTAACTTTGATAACTGAATGTAAGTTGGACTATCTGTACTTAATTTTATCATTTCAGCTGGAAGTCGCAATGGTCAGGGTGTGTTCGTGTGCCAAGCCAAAGTGTTAATAAGGAAATGCACAGGCCTATTTAACTCCTATGGCTTGATATAGCAATAGCACTTAGACTTATATGCCGCTTTACAGTGCTTTACAGCCCTCTCTACACAGTTTACAGAGTCATATTGTCCCCAACAATCTGGGTCCTCATTTTATCGACCTCGGAAAGATGGATGGCTGAGCCAACCTTGAGCTGGTCAGGATCGAACTCCTGGCAGTGAGCAGAGTTAGCCGGCAATCCTGTATTCTAACCACTGCTAAGCTTCTCTTGCACCTTTACCATAACCTCAAACCCTAACTGGATTTCCATCCAAATAGGATTATTTCAATGTATTTTACACAGAATAGAAAATATATTGGATTTTAAATGCTAGAGGCCTCCTAAACATAATGATCATCTCTGAATCTTTGTTCTGATTCAGGTCACGCAAGCAGCACCCGGTATACCCCAGTAAAGCACTCCTCAAACCCCTGAGTTCAAGTCCCCAAAGTTGCAGAAGTGTCGGCATCTATTCCTGCAAGCAGTTCAATGAGCAAGAGCAATAACACTTAGACTTATATAACGCTTCATAGTGTTTTACAGCCCTCTCTTAAGAGGTTTACAGAGTCAGCCTATTGCCCCCAACAATCTGGGTCCTCATTTTGCTCACCTCGGAAGGATGGAAGACTGAGTCAACCTTGAGCCTGTGAGATTCGAACTGCCAAATTGCAGGCAGCCAGCAGGCAGCAGTGGTAGCCTGCAGTACTGCACTCGTAACCACACTGCCACCACAGCTCATGCAAAAAAGAAACAACTCGCTAGACACATACAGGAGCAAAGCTCCGATGAACAGTAAAGGGAGGTAAACCAGCAGATGTTTGCCCACAGATGGACCTTAAAAGAGTTCCAAAGCGGCACAACTCATAAGTCTCACCAAGGAAATCCAGGCGTGAGAAGTCCTGACATGATTCCCCAAAGAACAGCAGTTCCAACAAGGAAACTCACAATGCCCAACGCAAGAGTAAAGAACGGGAAATGTAAATCATGGAGACGAAGACATTGCAATGGGAGAGCAAACAGTTGTCTCTGACAACACCACATCCCCAATGCCTGGTTGAATAAATCCAAGCCCAAGGTTTCTCATTAGAAGGGACAAGGCTGTTCCTTGCGAGTAGCCTCACCAATCTCCTCTGTGCTTCTCTTCCTTCTGCTCTCCATGCCTGTGGATTGGACCGGAGTGGTAACTGTTCCTCATCAGATGCAGCCTGCTTTTCAGAGCCGGCCTGTGGTAGCCATGCCCATGCCTCCCATTCTTCTGCTTGCACAGGCAGCTGTCCATCTGGTCAGTTTCTCACTCCTTCAGGCTTCTCCACGCCAAAAACTTTTGCAAAGGAACACAAGATCTCCTCCAAATTCTTTTGTTCATTTGCAAAAGGTTCTGGTGTGGAGAAGTGAAGCGTTTGGGGGTGCAGTCTTGTGCTTCAGACTCAATGAAGCTGCCCGACGCTTCAAAAGTGGATCAGGTGTCCAGCGCAGGCAGCCTTGGTGAGTCAGGGAAACTGAGCATGGTATGCTTGGCCCACTCAGTCTCTGCTCATATATCTCCGTCTTTGGAGCATTGGGAGCAGGCAGCTTGGTGACCCAGCTGGACAGGGGAGACGGGAACTGGCCGCAACTCCACTTATACAAGAGGGAAGAGAAACCTTTGGGGTGCCGTTCGTGCGAGTGGAGCTGCGTGTATCAGCCAGCCCGCCGCTCACAGGCTGATTCCAAATAGGCTGCAGCCCACTAGTGTACATAGATCAGAAAAACAACATAATTATTGATTTATCCTTTAACCATTTGTTTCAATCTTGAAGCTTGAAGTTATGGCTAATTCCGGTCAGGACTTTGGTTTGCAAAGGCTATGTAGATAAGAATGTTTTTCATTCATTCATTCATATGGAGGTACTACAAAAGTGTAGGGGGAAAAAGGCTTCAAAGCCTCCATTCAGATGAAAAGGAAGCTGTGCCCAGAAACTTGAAATAACGGAGAATACACAACTGTTTCAAAAATCTACTTTTATTCTTGATTTGTGTGAAGCTCTTATTCAGAAGAAATATAAAAGTCCTGTACAAATAGAACTACAAAAATATGATTTCAATTAAGTTAAGACTATCATTATTTTCAAGCTTTGAAATCCTGTAATGTTTCTTCTTTGGATATCTTACCTTAATATTCATTGTGTATCCTAAAACTAGGGGGGGAAAAAACTCCCTGTAATATAAAGCCCTAAATAAACAGGACAAAAGACAAAGCAGAAACCAAGTCCCCATATTAATGCCCGATCACACAATTAGCCATTAATAATTTACTAATTTAAGACTCACAACAAGCACAGGAATGTAGATTAAAAACCTCATCTTAAAAAACATTTTTATCCAGATAGAACGAAAATGAACAAGTGTATGGAAAAGATGCTTTCTACGGATTTCCTTCTTCATGTTTATTTTATTCTTTTTAAATCAATTACTACCCTGAAGGAGGCTTTGTTTTTATTAGAAAAAAAGAGCAATTTGGCATGTTTCACTTGTACCATTTTCAATGCGGTACTAACTTGTGATAAAAATTAAATAAATATAAATACACAAAATAAATATTTTGTAAAAGAGCATTACAAATAGGTCAACTTTGGAGCACACTGTTGGGGATTCTTATTTGTTCTGCATGTATAAAAACCACACACCCTAGTTTTAAAGATACTGGAAAGGAAAACCACATCCTTCAGCATGGGAAGCAAATCCATCCATTTAGCTTCCCACAAGAGCCTGTGCGTAAAGAAAAAATGGGTTTGAATGACCTAACAGGATCCCCAGTAACCATGTCCCTGGTTTCCCTATAGTTTTTAAAGGGTTATTTATACCCAAATCTTTTTTCTCCCTACTAACCGTTCATTTGGGCGAACATCTTACAGTGCAATCTTATACTTGTCTATTCAGAAACAAGCCCCATTGAATTCAGTAGCACT